TCTATTCGCGTCACGTGATACCAAATTTGGTATACGTGCAGACACATACGCAAACGAAACAAACCTCACACACAAATACGAAAACACATACATGAGCACCCGCGCCTAGAAACCCCCACAGCACACAAACGGACGAAGAAACGTATGGTCTGGCGTGTGTGCTGCAAGTGCGCTTGTGTAAACAACAGAGCAGACACATGGGACCCTGCGAAAGTGGGTGTACGAAGCACCACTTCAATTGCTCTTGGTGGCGTGTGTGTTCGTTGACGCGAGAATATCTTTGTGAGGGTTTTTGTTTGATCCTGTTGAGCCAGTAATCAACGTGTGTAAAGAAATAAAATACGTAAACCGATTCATCATACGAAAAGTGTACTAAGTGTGTGGAAGGCCGATTCAGCAAAGCTACCACCGTGCCGATTACGTCATGCGGTGGAAGCATTTGCGCCAGGTGTTGCATCAGTACCCGTCAGCTATCTATAGATAGCTGACATCGCTCTAAAGGTGTCGCATGCACGTCCTAAGCGTGTACTATCAAACGTTTGATTGATTGATTTGTGGGGTTTAACGTCCCAAAACCACCATTTGATTATGAGAGACGCCGTAGTGGAGGGCTCCGGAAATTTTGACCACCGGGGGTTCTTTAACGTGCACCCAAATCTGAGTACACGGGCCTACAACACTTCCGCCTCCATCGGAAATGCAGCCGCCGCAGCCGGGAATCGAACCCGCGACCTGCGGGTCAGCAGCCGAGTACCTTAGCCACTAGACCACCGCGGCGGGGCTACTATCAAACGTTTACTGCAATTTTCGCAAAGGCCTCAGTGTGTTTAAAACTTATTTTATACGACCCATTTCGGCTTAAAATTACCAAAGGCAAACCATTTCTAACGAAAGAAAAATAAATAACAAATTGAAATGATGGCGAGCTGCTCGCTACGCGTCGCCACGTAAAATGTTGAAGCAACGTCGTTTTACGAAGTGGTTGATATGCTTTAAGAGGCTGCGTTTGTGTGCAGCTAACAGCGTTGAAAATATAAATAACTGAAAAGAAATAGGGGTGCTAAAAGCTGTTTCGCGGCTATACCACAGTGACACGTTTCATTGCTTCGAAGCTTTCACACAAGAAAATATTGGCGTCGCCATTAAACTGTAAGCCACACCGCATCCTAACTTTAAAATGGCAGTGGTGACGTCGGCCGTATAAAGCCTTCCTGCTATAAAATGCATAGCAGAGGTGTAAGCCTAGTTAGCATTCAGCGAAATGGCAAGGTCTTCGCTTCAGGTGGCGCAGCTACGCAGTTGTACCAGTTGGTTTTTTTTTTTCGTTTTACTTAGCCGTGCTCTTACTTACACCCGCACGCGAGAATATTGATTTGACAGAAAATATGAATAACACGTTCCGGGCGTCCATCGCAATCCTCAGAAGCTCCATGCACTCTGCAGAGTTCGCGAAAAAAAAAGGCTTTTTATCAGGGAAAAATGTAATATAAATGCACTATATAAAAATGTGCTGGTTCAGTTTATGCCCCAAGTTGTGCCATAAACTGTCAAGCAAGAAAAGAGGTGGAGATCAGGTTTCTTAGTTCGGTGAACCTGATTTTTAAAACACGTTTGGTGAGCAAATAAAAAAAAACTATGTGCGGCTTATGAAATTACTTGCTGACCGGCGTTCATTTTGTCTATGCTTAATAACATTGGAGCCGCAGAACAAGCGTTTATCATTTTTTTTGTGCAGTAGGGAAATTCGCACGTGTACGTAGTAGGTAGATCTTTCATACGCGGAACAATTAGGTATGTTTTTTTGTTTTTTTTCTATGATAACCAAGGGCGTGACAAGATGATTTCAATTCAGTGGAGGACAAACTTCTAAAATGATGGCATACACGTAGACGTGCTAAATTCTCTTTTGACTGTACAGGTTAATTAGCACATTATCCACGTATTGTGCCGTTCGCAAGTTATTCTATTGTACTAAGCGGGCCCTTTTGCCCTACTGCAAGTTTGCCTTCCTAAATGTTTCTGCAGAACTATCGTCTTCATTGCGGTAGCTGTCTGGGTTCGCATATCGGGATAATTTTTCGGCCAGACAAGAACGGGTGCCCACCGAAATAATCACGCGAGGAGCTGTACAGTGAGCAATCGTTCGGGACAAATAGACAACCACAGAGCGAGGTTACCTAAAGCTCCAGTTACCTTAGCTTGCTGCCTCTGCCCATGTGTCGACACGCCAACTACTCTCCGCTTAACATTTTTGTCGTTATTTTTGTAAAAAAAAAGTGGGCGTACCTATACATTGCCTTAAGCACTAGCATGTCACATATTTTAGGTTATGTTCCAAACAATCATTAAGCCTGTGAACCTTTGCAATGAAGCTTCAATGCGATGTGGCACTTGAGAGGAACTGGTATAACAGTCGTTCGTACGTTCAAATATTGCGATACGAAACTGTTCGTAAAAAGGGCAGAGTGTCTGAAATGAAACAGACAAAAATTAAAGCGTATGCTCAGTAAGCTAGACGTGTAATAGTTAACAGTGATTGATCGTTTCTTACTTACTAAGCATCTCACATTTATGAAGCCGCAGGGAAAAAGTTGGCAGATTTCTCGCATTCTGGGAGTAACTCTTATGCGAAGCAATCAATCGGTAGCTGTCATAGTTTTTCCCCCTCTCTTTCTTTGAACGAAGCGTTACGAGGTTTATCGACGTACTTGTGTAAATTGAGCAGTGTGGTAGTGGCGTGTTCTTGTTAAGCATGCCAAATATGTCGACGTATAAAGGTTATCCCACCGTATGACGTAACTTCAGCACTCACGCTAAAACACAAATCTCAACTTCATCACAACCAAGTGCGCGCTATACGGTATGATTGTATACTTACGTGAAGCCTCGGTGATATTGTGCATGATATTGTAAATTTTTCGCGCATCACAGGCTTCCTTAGGTGTCTCAAGCTTATTGAGCGTGACATGCCTCGGTAAGGCAAGCGTGACAAGCCCCGAAAGATTTAGATGACATCAAAAAAAGTTTGTAAAGCTCTACAGAAGCAATTTACAGAGGGTCTCTGACATGAGCACTAGAAGCAGCTCCGGCTATCGATTGAAAAGCAATTTTCAGCGGAGAAAAAAATTGAGCCAAAGGAAATATGGACCGGCCCAGCTTCTCGTAGCTGTCCGTGTCTTCAGCCTCTTCTCTCTCCGTCCCGGGCGTTCGGACTTCTTCCTATATCAGTCCGATCGACCTACATGTCTTGAAAGCGCAGAGCAAAATTGTGGTTTCATCTTTAGCCGAGCGTTCATCGAAGTTGTCGCCTCAGTGGGTAGATAAAGAAGCCAGAAATTGTGTTAAATGTTTTGCTATACGTAGAACCCAAGACACGCTGGCTAGCTTTGCTCGAGGAAGACGAAACATCAAAGGAATTTTCATTAGAAATAAAGACATATTGCCAGAAACTAACGCAATAATTTTTTGCGGAGTTCTCACGAGTTTGTGGACTTTGTTTTTCTTACTTTTTACTATTACCACATGCTTATACCCCATTAAACGACACGAAATTGAAGCCCCGCCGGGGTGGTCTAGTGGCTAAAATACTCGGCTGCTGACCCGCAGGTCGCTGGATCAAATACCGGCTGTGGCGGCTGCATTTCCGATGGTGGCGGAAATGATGTAGGCCCGCCCCGCCGCGGTGGTCTAGTGGCTAAGATACTCGGCTGCTGACCCGCAGGTCGCGGGTTCAAATCCCGGCTGCGGCGGCTGCATTTCTGATGGAGGCGGAAATGACGAGGCCCGTGTGCTCAGATTTGGGGGCACGTTAAAGAACCCCAGGTGGTCAAAATTTCCGGAGCCCTCAGCTACGGCGTCTCTCATAATCATATGGTGGTTTTGGGACGTTAAACCCCACATATTAATCAATCAATGATGTAGGCCCGTGTGTTCAGATTTGGGAGCATGTTAAAGAACCCCGGGTGGTCGAAATTACCGGAGCCCGGCGTCTCTCATAATCATATGGTGGTTTTGGGACGTTAAACCCCACATATCAATTGACGCGAAATTGAAGGTGCTGCACAAACGAGAGTATGAAAACCTAGACAATTACAATAGATTACTTAATGTTCTATTACACTTCAATAAGGCTTAGATGCAAAAGTTCTATAGTAATATTTGGAGCAGGCTGTCTCAATCTAACAGAACAGATTGCCTTTTCTGTGTTTGTCATTTGGCGTCTTCTCAGCAAGGCAAGCTTTCTTCTTTTTTTTTTACTCCTCCAAAAAAATCCTAGTGGGAAGATGAATCGTCCTTACAGGTTCAGCAGTTGCTGGGAGGGGACTCACTTGGACGGGACTCTTTACAATAAGTTCTCCTTTCAGCATTTCTATCTCGTAGCATCGTTACTGTAAATGTTAACTGTGAAAGTAACAATAAAATAAAGCTGGTGGAGTGAAATTAAATTTCCTTTAAAAGAAAAGCGAACAATGAGTGTGAAATACGGGTACTAGAAGAAGCTCGACCACTTGTAATGACATCGAGTTTTGCGAAGTGCTGGTTAGGTGAAGTTGAAGAATGAATTAATAAACTTCATTTAAAGTTCGGCAGTTTTCTTCAGGCCAGGCAAGGGTGAAAGAGAGAACGAACATACACTTTTTTCTGCTTCCCTTGGTATTTTGGGGCATATCCAGTATACTAGAGCTCACGCCGCAGCGCCCTGCAGCTGAGCGAAATAGTGACAGGGCCACCACAGCTTACTGCAAACCCGTTGAATATTTTCGCGCACGTGTGTGAAATTAATAAATGACTGCAGTTAACAACACAAAAAGCTGTTAGTGGTTAAATGGGTAGTGTGGTGGTGGCGGTGGTATCCTCGCTTCCAGGTGCCGTTTCCTGTAGTTCACGCTAAACCTGTCTCGAACACAGGCCCGCTCGTACAGGAGCGCCATCGTTACGAGCCTTCTCGCGGGGCGCGTCAACAAGCCTCCCGCGCTAAAGCGAGCACGTTTTCGTTGCAGACTGCGGCGTCGCTGCGAGGCCCACGCCAGTGAACGAGAGCCGCATCGTGGGCGGAACACCGACCGACATCGACCAGTGGCCCTGGCAGGTGATACGTTACGCTTCGAACGACCAGCGCTTTACTGAACACTGTGCCTGCATTCCATTAGCGCGCAGTTTGTTGTACAAGCACTTCCGATGTTCATGAAATTAGTACACGCTACCTTACCGCACGATGTGAAACCGCCGCGCTTGAAAGTCCTCTAGGTGCTCTGCACAGATGGCGTATATATAAAACTTGGAGCTTGAGTGAATTTGTAAGGCATCATGACGTAGTTGCACAGTACCAAAGAATAAATGCGAAAGACCAGAGAAGACGTCGCTCCTCTTTGTTTTTATTTTATCTTCCCTCTTACTCGGTGCGCAGTTGTTCTTCATCAGACGAAGTAGCTTAGAACGAGCGTAGCGTCACTCTTGCATGAGTCAGAAAGAACGACAAACGTGTGCACTGTTACTTTTGTGTCTTTTGTGTCCTGCTAAAGAGTACAAGCTGCTTTTTTTACTTTAATGAATCGCGTACCAACTATTACTTGAACCAAGAAACTATCTGGCAAACGAGAGTACATGCAAAATAAGGTGCGTCATGTAGAAAATAAAAACTTACATTGATCCAATGACTGTGCAGGTATATACATTGATACGAACTATAATGTAGATATTTTAAGGCGGAAGCCTTTAATGTCTGGCACACACGGTATTCGTCCATCCGTGCTTGGTCATGGTACAGGTTCGCGATGGTGTCGCTGGTTTCATTTTGTCGAAGGGAAATGTTAATTTATTATATATGAAATGATAAAATGCAAGGGTACACAGAATTTCGTTATTTGAGGCTACGACATACACCAAAACACAGCGAGTTCACTGTGTGCTGCTATAACTGGACAGCAAGTCGTGCCACCTGTCGCAAGCGCAGCAAAGTCACACCCTCAAGTGCCAAGCTAGCAGACGCTCCACGAATCAAACGCGAAACTTCCCAACCTGTGTCCGGCTGTTAGCGTGTTTCTGCACTCTTTATATCGTTGATTGATTGATATGTGGGGTTTAACGTCCCAAAACCACCATATGATTATGAGAGACGCCGTAGTGGAGGGCTCCAGAAATTTCGACCACCTGGGGTTCTTTAACGTGCACCCAAATCTGAGTACACGGGCCTACAACATTTCCGCATCCATCGGAAATACAGCCGCCGCAGCCGGGATTCGATCCCGTGACCTGCGGGTCAGCAGCCGAGTACCTTAGCCACTAGACCACCGCGGCGGGGTGCTTTTTATATCGTGGATATTCGTGAAGTTTCTTTGGGAAACGTCGATGAGACCTTCTTCGGCCGTCCGGAATGTCTACAGCACAGCATAGCACACTCTGGAAGCAGGTTCATCTGGTGCAATCGCGATGGAAATAAACGCGAACAGCTGAAGGCGTGGCTTTCAACTAAGTCGAACTGAGACATGTCTTGACTGCCACTAGGTAAAGCTTGTGCTTTCAGCCGGCGTCGCGGTAGCGCCAGAATCCCGCTACGGCTCGGCTCGTGCACCACATGTACTGATCATCTGTCAGTGATGCTGGCGCTCGGAACACACACGCGGTTCAAAAGTGATTGATTGATATGCGGGGTTTAACGTCCCCAAACTACCATATGATTATGAGAGACGCCGTAGTGGAGGGCTCCGGAAATTTCTGCCCCCTGGGGTTCTTTAACGTGCGTGCACCCAAATCTGAGCACACGGGCCTACAACATTTCCGCCTCCATCGGAAATGCAGCCGCCGCAGCCGGGTTTTGATCCCGCGACCTGCGGGTCAGCAGCCGAGTACCTTAGCCACTAGACCACCGCGGCGGGGCGATTCAAAAGTGTCAGCAAGAGCAAGATTCTATGGTTGCACGGTGACGCCGGCTGAAAGAATAGATTCTCCTGCTGACAGTCAAAGCTTGTCTCAGTTGTACTGAGTTCAAGGCCACGCTTTCTGCTGTTCAGACTTCTTTGCATTGCGATAGTACACGGTTACCTTTGTATTTAGTGTGCGCAGTGTGTGCATGGACGCGTGACACGTAGTATCTCATATTGCTGGCATGCAGCCTGCGAAATAGTACGGCAATCATTTGGTGCCACTTACGACATACTGCAGGCAAATTGATTACTGCTGCAAAGCGAAATAGCTGGCGTAACGTTTCAATACACGCAGTAAGTCTACTTACTGGCATACTTTAACGGGACTTATGGTACATACTGTTGATTGCAATTACCCACTGGCGGTGGAGCTCGACGTTGTTCGCTGCGGATGAAAATCTGTGCAAACTGAAAACATCGTACCAGCACCCGTCGTGTTGTGATTCTCACAGATAGTGCCAGCTGAGTAATATCTTCCTAATTGATTGATTTATATGTGGGGTTTAACGTCCCGAAAGCATCGTATGATTATGAGAGACGCCGTAGTGGAGGGCTCCGAAAATTTCGACCACATTCATGGAGTTATTTAACGTGCACCCAAATCTGAGCACATGGAGCACACGGGCGTGCAGCATTTCCGCCTCCATCGGAAATGCAGCCGCCGCAGCTGGGATTCAGTCCCGCGACCTGCGGGTCAGCAGCTGAGTACCTTAGCCACTAGAACACCGCGGCGGGGCAGTAATATCTTCCTCTTTCGCTTATTATTTTCGCATCCAAATGGGCGCAGTGGTGCCCAAACGACCTGTTGTCAGCGGGAACGGCGTGAAGAGGTGCTTTCTCGTATTTTGAATCCCAGAGACGCCGCTTGCCATGTTAATTAGGCGCAACGGATGCACACATTGGCAGTTCAAAACGAATCGGTCGTCTGGATGCGATAGTCTGGGTCAGGAGACTAGGCGCCTGGATGCCAGATAGGCGTGCTCATGGTCTATAAGAAAGGAGTTCTTTGATTTTTCGTTAACTTGGACGCCTCACTCTGCACTTAACAAATTTTTGTGTTTTGAAGTATTTGTGCAACATTTTATTGCTTAGTTTATCAAGTTCATTTGCAGCAGTTCAATGATCAACATTTATTATCCCAATACAGATGCCACTGAATTTTCGGAAACTGAAGGAATGTATTGAACACAACTGCAGAACAGAAATATCTATGAACCAGCTATTTCAAGCCATTATGTGTACTATTTACTGACATCAGCCCGGTTTATACTGTGACTGCAACCTTTCGACTTTTATCATTTTATCTAACGCCCACACGTCCTCCTGTGCATTTTCTGTCAATTGATGCTCTTCACTGCTAGATGGCCATCGGTTATTTGTAGTGCGTATGGCATGATTCTCCCTCACTAACCTGCTCTTTTCTTTACAACATGATGGACATCAACAACTGCAAGCGCAACTCTACTGTTCTTTGCTCAGTCTTTGCCTCATTTTTTAATGCCCTTTTAATGAATATCAGGGCAAAATGAAGAACAGAAGGGAAACCATTCGGCGATGCCCGTGACGACTAAATATATAATGCCTTGTCATATATTAAATTAGCTCAATACCAGTGGTAACACACTTAGTTGTGATCGCAGTTTAGGCTCATTTCTAGCCGTCTGATGGCTGCAATGGTACAGCTGTGTGCTAATGATTGCAGTTGCCTGAATACGAAACGAAATTTTGTGATTTAACGCTGACCGGACAATATACGTTATGTTTTCTATACTTATAAGAACCAGACGTGACAGAAAGCTGTATCGGAATTGCTGGTGCCGTCGCGGACAACATTTACCGTGATTGCGACATACGCGCTTAATGGTACGCGTAACTTTTCTCTAATGGGTGCCCGCTCGTTATGCAATGCGATTAAGAGTCACGTGATGGAAACAAAAGAAAGAAATGCGATCAGAACTACACGGCTACGAACGCATCTATTTCTTTTTATTTCACTCAGCTTTCTCCGACGTTTTTTTTTTTTTTCATGGCACTAGACATAGCAGTGCAACACTTGACGCCAGGCGCTCACTAACTGCTTGGCGCATTGCGGCAGAGCGTATGCTCTGCTTATCCACCACTGGTCCTTACAGGCTGCCACAACAGTAGTCGCATCAGAGCTAAAGATGTGTGTTCGCTTGCATGCCTGTCATTTCACTCTGTCCTAGAGAAAACAACATGAGCAGAGGCCTATCCTTCTAAGGACGTTCACGTGTATTTATATAATCTTATCATTCGTGCATACTTGCAGAATATTCCCTAAGATTAGCCCAGAAAGCCATACGAGCCCTTCTACAATTCTCGAAGGCAACATCACTTACCGACCGCCTGTTAAAACCTGCACTGTGTGTGTGGCGTGCAATGTGAATCTGCTCCTCTCTCTCTTTTACTGCGTTATTTGCCCCTCCCCACACGTGTAGGGTAGCGAACTGGCGTTTCATAACTTGCCCATTCAAAAGCAGTTGTTACACCTTGAACGATGATGCAACAATGGAAACGAATAGCTTTAGTTGCTGTGATTCAATCAATCAATCAGTTTATATTCGTGACAGCAGGAAAATACAATGTTGGCAAACATGCAGTTGTCACTGCTATCGTACTTTTTCTTTGTCTTATTTTTCTTCTTCTTCACACGGACATACACTGCGCAAGAATGGGCCGTCTTGAAGAGCGTGCTGAGAGCTTTTTTTTGTCGAAGGAACTCACTGAGGAAAGACAAAAAAAAAAAAACATTAAACACACAGCTGTCCATCCAAAGTGACGGCGAGAGGCGTTTCTGTGGACAAAAATTTCTCTGCTGCTGTTAACACTGAACGGAAAACCACGGGTTCAATCCCGGACGTGGCAGTCGCATTTAAATGGCGGCGAACTAGTATAGGCTCATGTAACTGTGCGATGTCCGTAGCCGTCAGACAACACCAGATGGTCAGCGTTTTCGGATCCCTTCACGCATATGGCGTACCCAGATAACGCCATATTATTATTATTATTATTATTATTATTATTATTATTATTATTATTATTATTATTATTATTATTATTATTATTATTATTATTATTATTATTATTATTATTATTATTATTATTATTTGATCAGACGCTAGTGGGTGAGCAATGATATTGGTGGAGCAGCGTGCAAAATACACAATCACGTCCACATATGCCCCGCCGCGGTGGTCTAGTGGCTAAGGCACTCGGCTGCTGACCCGAAGGTCGCGGCTTCAAATCCCGGCTGCGGTGGTTGCATTTCTGATGGAGGCGGAAATGTTTTAGAGCCGTGTGCTCAGATTTGGGTGCTCATTAAAGAACCCCAGGTGGTCGAAATTTCTGGAGCCCTCCACTGTGGCGTCTCTCGTAATCATATGGTGGTTTTGGGACGTTAAACCCCACATATCAATCACCTTCACATATACACTCGCGTCTGTGTCGTTTTTATGTGTGTTTTATTTTACCTGTCGTGCGCTTTGATAAAACTTATATGTAGGGTTTAACGTCCCGAAACCACAATATGATTATGAGAGACGCCTTAGTGGAGGGCTCCGGAAGTTCCGACCACCTGGGGTTCTTTAACGAGCACCCAAATCTGAGCACACGGGCCTACAACATTTCCGCCTCCATCGGGAATGCAGTCGCTGCAGCCGGGATTCCATCCCGCGGCCTGCGGGTCAGCAGCCGCCTACCTTAGCCACTAGACCACCGTGGCGGGACACTTGTCGTGCGCTGCTTTATCAATTATTTCTATTATTATTCCGCAGTTAGCTAGCTTTTCAATGGACATGCATTTCTCTACAGACTTTGCCGATTGAGTAGTGGTCCTGTCAGTTTTTAGGCTGTTCTTGCTTAGAAAAAGTTGGGAACAGGTGTTAGTTTCAGGAGGAGTGTCCATCAGACGTTTGGTAAAGACGCGACCCGTTCTCTGCTCCCGCAGGTGTCGCTGCACCATCGCCGTCCTTCGTCGGGAGCCCCTGGGCGTCGGCTGTGCGCTGCGAGCCTCGTGTCTGCGTCGTGGCTTCTCACCGCCGCGCACTGCCTGCTAGAGTGAGTGAGTGCGCGTGCTTTGCTGACCATTGCGCGCCAGAGACACGCAGAACGACTTGGTTTTTATGTTTTACTCAGTGCTGATCATATGTCGAAAAATGATTGAGCAGTGGCTCAGCTCGGCTATGCCAATACATACGTAAGGTGAGCTAAGGTGCGGTGTCGCTTACCTCAACATTTCGTGCATGACATTATTCTTACCAGCTTCTAGTCTTTCATGTGCCACAGTCTTTTTGTCTTCGCCCCTAAAAACCGTCTGTTGGCGCTGCACAACCATTTACTGGCCACTCCGTATAGGCACTGGATCTCGTGCTCCTAGGTTGTGCCGGTGGAAGATTTCTCCTGTGCGTTATTGAACAATATTAAGTCACAGCGTGCACGTTATCTGAAAGTGGACTGCGGGACTATGTGTTCAATCGGAATATTGTGCCTGTCATTGCCCTTTAGCAGAGGGATAACGAAGGGGAACAGCGGCAGTGATTGGCATGTTCCAGTATAAAGCGCGCCGGTTTATCACTGAGTGCTTTGCGCTTACTCAGGTTTCTTTCCTGCGCAACGCCGTGATGAAAGCCAGCGTCGACGCCGCCGTCACTGTGAGCGTTAGCGCCATCAGCTTTGCATCTACACGTTTCCCTTTAGGGGAAATGGTGTAATATTTTTTTCTCTCTTACTTTGTTATTTCATGTACCCCAATCCTGCCTGTGAATCTTTGTATGATGAAGGGCAGAATGAGTGAGATGAAATGAAACTGGCAGTGTTGCCGCCATCCGCAGTCCCGCAGCGGCCGAAGGAACAGGACGCTTGTTACCGTCAGGCCTGTGGCTCGCCTGCCGAGCGGGCCAGTGCGTGCGGCTGCGCAAGCTAGCAGTGCACGCAGGCTTTCGCCGCCACAACTACACGCACGACGTGGCACTGGCCGAGTTGGTGCAGCCACTGCCCCTTCCCGCTCGGCCCATCTGCCTGCCCATGTCGCCGTCCTCCGGAGGGTCCGCGACCGTCGGAAGGCACTGCGTCATCACCGGCTGGGGAGCTCGACGACCGCTGGTCAGCCGAGCCACGAAGCTGCAGCAGGCGTCGCTGCCGGTCCTGCCGTGGGACCTGTGCCGGCGAGCGTATCCGTGGGCCGCAGCTCTGCGTCGCTGGCTGCTATGCGCGGGACTCTGGAAAGGTGGCCGAGGGCCCTGTCATGTGAGGACAACACTACTATTAGTCTCTGCTATTAGCTTTTTTTTGTCTTTTCGTCATCCCACGGCGCATGCGCCATTTCGCTAGTGGAAAGGTTGCGGAATGTGTCATCATCTCGGAGGCTTTCGTTCCGGCGATACCATTTGTACCTGCTCCTACTAAGACCCTACCGAAACGGCAGAGGGCAGCACAGGAAACTGTAAAAAGTTGTTGTACACACACAAACGCGCACACACGCACGCGCATGAAAGTTCATTGATTTATACCAAGGTTTGATACGTAAAGAGATGAGATAGCGCCTCACTGATTTGCAAAAGGGTTATGTAGAGCGACTCAATTACGAAATATAAGGACATGAAACGAAATGAACTCTACCAGGACATGGTTGGTGTGGGATAGTTTTTTTTTTTTTTGGCTTCTGCGCATGAATATGAAGAAACCCGCATGTGGTTTACTGATCCCACTGACGAGACGTCACAAACATTGTGCCCAACTATGCTGGCACACGAACCCGGTGGTTTCAGGGACGCCAAGGCAAGTCGTCAACGTCAAAGGCAACCCACTATGGCGTTGGTGTAGTGGTTACGGGGCTCTAATGCTGGCCCGAAGGTCGCGGGACGGAATTCCGGCCCCGGCGGCCACATTTCGATGAAGCTGAAATACGAGAAGCCTGTGAGCTTAAATCTAGGCGCACATTAAAGAACATCGGGTGTTCGAAATTTTCGGAGTCCTCCACTACGGTGTCTTTAGCAGAGTTATTCAATCATACGAGTTGCGAAACTGTGTTCCAAAATCCTGACAAGCAGGTGTTGCAATTTTTGGCAAGTTCGCTAACGTTTGCGCTATCTCGCAACGGCAACACAAAACAAAATAATGTATTTAATACTGTGTGGTCCTATCAACAGGTGGCGCTACAATCTGCTCACTACCAACAGTGGTGCCAATGACGTGTTTTGATATCGACACATGGAGCCTATGGGATGGGGAGTTGCACAACTCATATATGACTGCATAACTTTGGTTTCTAGTAATCATAGCCATGGCCGCGCTATAGAGTGCACTAGACTGACGAGGCACGCGGTGTCGCAGCGCGGGCGTCTCTTATGCCCGGCTCTGCCGTAGCAAGGTTTTGGGACGTAAAACTCCAACAATCATTACGGTTTCCAGGGTGACTCGGGAGGGCCACTGCAGTGCCAACGCAGCGATGGCCGCTGGCAGCTGTCCGGCCTCGTGTCCTGGGGCGCTGGCTGTGGCCGTCCCGGCCGGCCGGCCGTGTTCGTGCGCGTTGCTGCGTACCGTCGTTGGATTCGAGATGCGACCAAGCGCCTGCAGCACCAGAACCAGACTACGCCTCGCGACAAGGACAGTCGGCAGCAAGTTTCACCACGGAATGACACGGCCGCGAAGAACTTTTATTTTCCGGCGTTATCGCTGCACGCTTTTGTGCTCTAACGACTAACACGTGCTGGTGACTTTCTGCGTGTTTAACCTCCGAGAAAAAAAAAAAACGAGAGATCGCTGGTTAAGCACGATTTGCATCCCAGGAAAGAAGCAAGCGCTTTCAATTCCTCCAATTTTTTTTTTACTTCAGTGGTTCAATAAAGCTTGCGTTGAACAGAACTGGTCGAGATTGGCAAGAAGCAGAATGGGTTTGGATTGGCAAGTAATTTCAATCATTTAAGGCTTGACTAAGGCTGCTACTGGGGCTTGTTGGTATTTGATTAGCATGTAATCGATATTACATTATTGTTTGTTCTTGTTTTTCTTAGATATAATGACACACAAGTAGTTAGCAACCAAATAGATGTTCAATTAGTATGTGTAACACTGAGCCTGTGGAACATGGCCAAAATTAAGAAAGAACGATGAAACAAAACCTTTCAGCATTACGTGCTTCATTGCGCCTTCTCTCCGTAACCCTTTCTCTCAGAGTTATGCACGCTAAAAGCGTAACTTTGATTTTCATTCAGTTATATCACCATAGACCTATTCTATCCTTGTCAATAGCGGTAGGTGTCGTCGACACACTGAGGTGCTTGTAGAGACGTCGTCGTGTGTAAGCTTCGGCTAGCCCAAATCTCGCCACTGCCTTCTACCATCACGTGAGAATTGACACGGCAGCTGCGATACTTCGCACGTGCTTGTGTCCCCTCTCCTGCTGGGTGTGCCGAAAACACGAAAAATGTCTTTTTATTTACCAAGCTCATTTTCTTTAATTTTTGAAGTTCATGCTCAATGAAACAATAGTGTTAGTACATCACAGGTATTTTAGCATGTGAACAGTATTCAATATTATGAGTATTCTTCAAGGACAAGTAGGTGTACGCAAGCACAGAAAACTTAAATTGAGAAGTGTCGTATACCACAACGCCGTTGCTTTTGTTTTGTCTTTCCTCGTGAAACCATTTCTTTCCTGCCACAGATCCGTTACTAATTGCTGCTTCCGCTTTAGTGTAACACATTACCGAATGAAATCTGGCACTTCTCTGTCGTTTAACAAAGAGTGACCTCGTTTAGCGCTCTGACGCTCCCCGCAGGCGCGCGTCCGTGGAAGCAGGCCGGCAAAGAACTTTATTAATATCCGGAAGCGGCGCTCAATACCCCTTAGGGGGCGACACCAGTGGGCCACTCCCACGACGGGACGGGGAGGTTAAACTCCACGGCCATCGGCCATACCATGCTGAATGCGCCGGTTCTCGTCCGTGGAAGTGCTGCCGAATCACACGGTGAACGCTATACGCGCGGGGGAAGAAAACGAATTCCGCGGCCGCCTAGCTTGAATTATTCGTGCGCACATTTATGCCAGTGCTCGGCTGGATGCCACCTGAAAACATTCTGGGCACATTCGTTATACATTTATTGTGTTTAGTGGAGGAAAACAACCCACACCTTAGGTGAATAAATCACAACGCCAGTTCTGAACCCCCATTACGCCTTCAGGTACATCAGAGTTATCTGCTCAGAAGCCGAGATACCCTTCCGTATGGTCTTGGGCCTGCGATAGCGACTGCGAAGCTTGCATTTTTTTATTTCTTTGTAGTTATCGTAAAGTCTTGTGCTTAGTTTCAGTGTGGTGGAGTGTTCTAACTGAGGGGTCTGGGGGAACGGCGAATTCGATCACGCCGCATGAATTTGTGCACTGTAGTTATGTAAATGTTTATAGCAGTTTATTGCAGCTGACCGGATGTTGCTAAAGTCACGTGAGAGCTGTTAAAACTTACATAGCAGAATTTATCACATGGCAAAAAGAAAAGGATAAAAGATTGCGGGGATGAAATATAAATACGCGAAAAGAAAAGTATAAGAACGTGCAGCTTTGGATCAAGGAGAAAACTGCTACAAGCAGTTAATATAGCATGTTTCTTCGGTTCGATTGCATGATATTTGCACATCTCAATAGTACTTCTTTAGGCTTATCGATAATCGAATATATGTGGCTAAAGAGTTCATACGCACTCACCAGATGACCAATAGTGTAACCAAAAAGATAGGATGTGTTGCATGCAGAAAGCACCACAGTCTATTTTCAGGAGCATGCCACCCATGACTAAGCCAAATCCTTTTTTCAAATTCAGTGCCTCATAAATCTGCCTGGACTCCACCCACTTTTACTATTTCTGCGAGCTTACTTCATTGAAGCGAGAGCCTTAGACGCCCCATAAAACTCGAAAATTGACCACCGGCTTCAATACAAGGGACGAAAAAAAAAGTCACTTGATAACATCACCATATGACGTCATGCAGCCATCATGGCTGCCGAAATTTGTGATGTCATCGCGTGACATCGTCGCTTGGTCAAACGTGGTCACATCACGGAGGCAGTACTAAACCAGTCAAGGCGCAGAATGCTTGCGATGCCTCCGATCCCGGTGGCAATGAAATAAACCCGATATGTATGGGAAACTTTCTGTGGGCAAGGACAGAGGATGAAATAAAGTTTATTTGGTCCTATAGAACCTGATAAGACGCGCACCGAAGGGGTATCCGCCGCAGTTACTGGATGCGCCCATGTCGGTACCGGAAGACCAAAGCCTTCCGCCTGTTCACAGGCCTCCTGGACTGCCAAGTGGTGAACCATGCACCTCCTCGATTTCATCAATGCCAGCTAGGTGCGCCTGACCCAGCCGCTCACCACCCTCTTCTGTAGCCTTTTTCTGCTCTCGCTCATCACCTAGCTTTCGCGCGTGTTTTGCAGTCATGAAGGAAAAAGCCCCTCATGCAGTGCCTCACGACGGAAATTATGTAAAATAACTTTTTGTTCAGTTTTGTATAGATCCGTGGGGCGGCGTCTTGAATTCCTCGTGTTCACAATAATGGTGGTCACGCTGGCTCTGTAAAAGATACGGTGTTTCAAGATAGTGTGTCGCCGTTCGTGGCACTATGCGGGCAACCAATCGGGAAGCGTCACGGCAACGCTACTGCATGCGCTGCGCTTTGATGCGGCGGCGTGCATTGCTTCGAACCACAAGGGAGGAGCATGAAGGAACAAATCTGACGGACGTATGATATTGGAGAGGGACACACGTCTATCGCATCTCTGGGTGAAAGTTCTCGGAAGCACGTGTGACGCAAGCAACCCTGCCCCTCATGTGGCGTCGCATCACAACCACTCCCTGACCTGAGGCGGACTGCGGGCTCCCGTTGGAGAGAGCGCATTTGCACTGGCATTGAATGAAATAAGGGAGGCGTTGGCTGGACTGAAAGCTGTGAGCTTTTAAGGGCCCTCTCCCAGCCCTGCTCTGTGCCGAACTTTGCGCTACGTAACGCCTGGCACTGCCCGAGCATGTGAGCAAACGTGCAACACTCTCTCCCACGGTGAGGGCATCTTGCGTTCATGCAATCAGCAAAGTAACCGCATGTGCTACGAGACGGGAACGAACCTGCCTGCAGCATACGAAGAGACAACTACTGCGGTCTGGTTAGCTTGGAATGCGGCAGGAGGCGCCTACGCCTTGATGGTTGGGAGGGGGGATCAATACACCGAGTGAGAAGAAATGGAGGGTGCTTTCCGCCTTGGAGTCGTCTTAGGCACGTATGCACAAACCAGTTTCATTGTTTCCTCGAGTATTCCTTAGCAGTTTTAAACCTTCATTGCACTCGATAAACAGAGTTGGCCACTATTCATTAACCACTACTGTCATTATCTTCCACCCTGTTACCCCTCTTGTGCCTTTATAACGCATCTGCAGAGAGTACAGGAAACCAAGAAAAATGTGAGGTAAAGCCAAGGTTAGTTTGTGAATACGGCCTTAAGTGATTGCATAAGGAATACCGTGAGTATTCTGTGTATACTTCTCTGTGATCTGTACGTTTGCTATTCGTTTCCTACTGATTTCTTCCTCTTGAAAGAGTAGGACGGCGTTCTGCCCCTCTCGCTCAGGGTTCGGCCTCCACCCTACATCTTTCGGTTTGTAATTGCTGTTTGACGTCCCAAAGTGACTGAGGCTAATCAAAGTGTCGTACTTGTTAAGCTGTTTTCTTTGTGTCCTTGTATATATTTGTATATCTTTATATCAAATGATAATGATCGTTCCTCTTTGAACGAAGGAAACTACGATAGTAGTATTTCCTTCACTGCTGTTACGCCGATGCGTGCAGCGCGAACTAAAAAAGTTTGAAGCTAATTCCAAGCACTGGCTTTCTCTTACGAGTTATCCATAGATCAGTGACAAAGGCAGATGCCTGCCCCGCCCCGGTGGTCTAGTGGCTAAGGAACTCGGCTGCAGACCCGCACGTCGCGGGTTCGAATCCCGGCTGCATTTCCGATGGTGGCGGAAATGTTGTAGGCCCGTGTGCTCAGAGTTGAGTGCACGTTAAAGAACCCCAGGTGGTCGAAATATCCGGAGCCCTTCACTACGGCGTCTCTCAAGATCATATGTTGGTTTTGGGACGTTAAGCCCCACATATCAATCAAAGCCAGTCGCCATAAATCTTTGGGCGCACATAGTGAAGCGGAATAATCAGTAAGTGGATCCTAAATTTTTTTGCTTCCTTTTTTATTTGGGCAAAAATTTTGCACTTTGTGATAGCTGCTTCTGATTTAGCCCGCATTTCTCAACTTTGACATGTAAGGCACAAATTTCATAATGGAACGAGTCCGGAAACATTTCCCGTGATGAGACATGTCAGTTTGTGTTATCGTTGCTATTGACACGCTCCTTTCTCAAGTTTCCTTATCGACCCATTATACGTGTAAGTGCCTTGCGCAAGCATGCCCATTGACTAAAGAACCATCGAGATAATAGTAGCACCTTTCGATGCGATTACGCGTACCATGGAAACATTACAGACTCTTCTGGAACTTACGGGGCCGCTAGCGATAACGCTGGAAAATTCGATGGCACATGTATAAACGCCGACGCGCGTCATTCCTTGTCAGTTGATCGATGGCCGACACTCAGTTTACCGCTGTCTTTACCAGTGTGCATTGCTGTAATCTGGTTATATATTTACCGGCCTTAAGTTCGGCCAAATAAACAGTTTAATCTTGGACGTACTGCCCACTGTCTTCGTTAGCGTCACGACTACGTGACAATATTATAGGTATGTACATTTCAGTTCTTGGTGCGTTAATTATAATCTTTTCCCCGCAATAGTAACTTATGGGTTCTTACAA